AGAGCTCCATGCCCGTGCTCCCCGTGCTCCCCAGGCCCTCCCTGACCCCGTTCCCTCCTGGCAGTACCTGGGCTCGGACATGGAGGAGTTCCACGGCAGGACGGTGCACGATGACGACAGCTGCCAGCTGATCCCCGTGCTGCCCCGGGTGATGGTGATGCTGATCCCCGGCCAGACGCTGCCGCTGCAGCTCTTCCGCCCCCAAGAGGTTAGCATGGTGCGGAATTTAATTCAGAAAGACAGAACCTTTGCTGTCCTTGCATACAGGTAAAAGCCACGGGCGGGTTGCTGGTGTGTGCAGCATGTTTGTAGCACAGTTTCTGTGGATACTAAAGCAAAAGCAGATGGTTGCATCAGTTCTGTGCTCGATAACAAGCTGAAGTTGTTTAACAGAATTTGGCTTCCAATGTGTAATGGCGGTGTAGGTGCTTGACAGCATCTCGTGTTTGTGTGGGGAAACAGCAAGTGCTGATCTGTGTCCTTGGCTGAGCATCCTCCTCTTTCAGTAACTGTTTGTTCCATCTTGCTAAAGAATAAGCCTTGACCTGAAATGTGAAAGTCACATTCTTGTTTTGAGAGCTGTATTGTTGCTTGTTTTGCGTGTGAACTAACAAGCACTGGCAAATGTTTCACAGTGGAGTTGAGAGACAGGAGGTGATAGAAAAGTGGAGAAGAGAAAAGCTGATTAATGCCAGAAGAAGTTGGGAATGTTCCTCCCTCTTCCCCCTGCAATTTACTATGGATTAATTGTGTGGGAGGTGGGAACAGTTCCTGTTACAAAGTCAATCCAAAGAATGTTTGCTTTCAGTGCTTTCAGTGCCTGCATTTGAAATGCTGACACACTGGTGATCCCTGTGCTCCCAGAATGTCACATCTAGACCCTAAAATAAAATCAAGTTACCTGGCAAAAAACCCCAACCAACCAGAACAACAGAAATTGCTTTATAATGGAAAAATTATTATTGTGATTAATTAAAGGTATTTCACCAAAAATTGCTTTTTTGATAGACCAATTGTACAGTCACTGCAGGCAGAGTGGAGTCTGAATGAGCAGTGCTGTTTGGAGGGGGTTAATTAATTTAATTCACCTTTAATTCTGTTACTCTTAGCAATGCACATGAGAGGGAAGCACATTTTGGGACGACAGCAGAAATCTATGCCTACAGAGAAGAGCAGGAATATGGAGTTGAAACAGTCAAGGTGAAAGCAATAGGAAGACAGAGGTTCAAGGTGCTTGAAATACGAACACAGTCAGATGGGTAAGAAATGGTGCTGTTAATTCTATGCTCAAGTCAACTTTCTTAGGAATATTCTCATATTTTCTGTATTCCCATTTGATAGCTGTGATAATTAGACGCTCTTCTGACTAGTTTTAACATATTATGTAATTAATGCCATTTTTCATTTCTGAAAGTGATCAAGATCCTGAGCATGCAGTAAGAATATGCTGAGTCTTCCCTCATTTCCAGCTCCTTGGCATCATGCCCTGCACCATGGCCAGAGGTCCAGGCCCCAGCATTGATCTGGGAGCATGTGATAATTCTTAGCACAGTTGCTAGAGCTTCTGTCATATTTTCTGCAAGGCTTGTGGAGTATTATTCCAAATCTGTAAATCTAGAGCTCCTCACCCATATCCTGCAGTTCAGCATAGTGGCATTGCCAATTCAGCATAGAAGGAGGTCTGGGAGCATTTCTGTGGTTTTGTGACCTGCAGCTGAAGAAATGAAGAATATTTGTGCTGTTTGCTCTCTAACAGACTCTGAATGTTAGAGCTTAGGAGAAGCCCTGCTTGGACACATGGTGGCAGTGCTTGGACAATTGGAGCAGCTTTGTTACTGGGAATTCACTGTCCAGAGCTCCTTAGCAAGGAGAACATTTCCATAATTCTTGGTGTTTCTGATTCCTGAGTGCTTTTGGCACAACATAATCTTGTAATTTATTGTAAGTTATCAGTTCAGTGCTGTCCCTGTGTGAAAATCAGAATTTTTTACACACTGCTCAGTGTTTCAGGATTTCTGCTGCATAATCCTAATAAGACATGAAGTCTTTCCTGCTGGACAGCATTCTTAGTAGCCTCAGCCATATGCTGAGGTCTTTGTGGAAGAGGTGACCTTTGATGCTGGGATATTAAAATCTGATTAGAGTCTGGATCCTATTTCTGCTGATTCTGACCTCGAGCTGAGCACAGGAGCTTTTGTGGTTTGAAGATAGCAAAGTGCATTGCAGCTGAACTGAGCCATTGAGATGGAAGAGCTGATTATTTATATCAAAAGTAACTTGAGGAGACAAAAATATAAGTCTATAGTGCTGAGATGGTGGAACATTCAGCTGTGTTGCCCCTGCCAATCTGTCTGTATTTCTGTCCACCACAATCCCAACAGATCTGTAGTGCTCTAAAATAAAAGAAGTTCTGATGGAATGGGTTGTAGGTTAAATTCTCTAGTATTGTGATTAATCCATTGCACCAGCCTGTGTTCCCATAAGCAGTAAAATCCATTTTATTAAATGCATGTATTAGAAAAAACATTTAAAGTGTGTACAGCTCATGTTTTTGTTCCCTTGCTCAGAATCCAGCAGGCTAAGGTGCAAATCCTGCCTGAGCGGGTGCTGCCTCCCACCATGGCAGCAGTGCAGCTGCAGTCTCTCAGCAGGTGCCACGTGCTGCCCTCTTCCAAACCCACCTCCTGGCACGACAGGGCCATCAGGCAGTGGTGGCAGAAGTACCAGAAGGTGAGAATTATTTCACAGCTTTGGTTATTCTGCTTTTGTATTTTTGTCTGAATTTTTGATGGCGTTTTGAGAATC